GATTACTATTATTGGCACGATTTCAGGTCGGTTTCCTTGAACAACGTCGAATTGAAGCGAACAGTGTGGGCCACGGCTACGACAAGATCTTTGGTAGATGTCTAGATGACAAGTTAACAGCTGTGAACGTCCAGGATGCGTATGTCTGCGCACATCATCAGGTCACTTTTCATTCTTTAACTCGATTATTTCTCACCATATTTGATTTTTTGTTTAGATTTTGAATTTTGTTCGGTTTTGCGAACTTGTTGTTGGCAACGCTCCAAATATTCGATGCATCACGTTGCGAACGGGAATGGAAGCGCGGAATAATCAGATGGCATTTGACGAATTGACGCGAAGCCTTGAGAAAGTTAATGTCGTTCTGAAAGTCGAATTCAGTCCTTCCATTCATGACAGAGAAATCAGGTATGGATTTTTGATTGCTTTCCCAATGAGGCCGAGTTCGTCATTTTTCTCATATTTCAGATTCAATAACGGGTGGATCGTCAAAATAGGACGGGGACTGGACTATTTCAAAAATCCGGGTAAATACGCGTTGGGTGCGTCAGACCTGAACTTTCGACAATGTCATGAGACTACAGTTGACATAATGAGACAGAAGAAATAGATTAATATTTGTGATAATTTTTATGTTTACCACATTTTCACTTGCTGATGTAAATATGTAATAAATTCTTCACTACAACTGTTGTTGATTTTAGTTTTGGTTTATCCATCGATATCTTCCCTTACCTGCTCATGTGAATTACTACCGTCAATAATACCTCATTCTTTCCGTGGCTTTATCTATACCCTTCTCTTTTAAGCGAACGCTTCTTAGAAAGGCGATAGCAACCATGACAAAGGCGGGAGGCAACAAAGCTGTAAGTTTCTTTAGTAAACTAAAATTTCGGCTCTATTCAAGTGTCGCTATCCGAAAATCCAATTTTCCTGCTGAAACTTGGTCTATTGTGGTTATTAACTGAGTTATCACAAGTATGATTCTTCCTTTTGACGTCAGCGCCAAATGGGATGGGCGCCAACTCTGTAAACACCCGGTTATGTGGTATGCTTATCGCATGGTTTTCCGTCTGAGAACCTTCTCGATGCCGACTTGACTCTACGACTTTGCCCACCACATTCGTTAGAAACTTGCAATTGTGGTGGTTTGAGATAAGGGACAATAGGTTCTTGATTCGACGCTGGTAGGTGTCGCGTGTGACGTTGCACCCGCAAATGACAATCTTTCCAAGTACTAGATGGCGACAATAGACAAAGTGAAATCGAAAGGGGCCGCAAATGTTTATGATGTCGTAGTCTAGATGAATTAGATGCTCCAAATGACAGGTACATTACAACTCAAGGAAGTACTGCGCGTGACAGAGCGGCAGATTACCGTCTTGACCGTCTCCCGTTCATTGGAGGTATTGTTCACGAACACTCAATTTTCGTTGCCGGCACCTTTACAGTCGACCACGGGCGACCCAGTGCCTCAGGCCTTCAGCGCTACTACCCTAGTCTTAGCTTCTCGTCAGCATCGGCGGATCGAAAATTTGAGGTGTATGTATTTGATTCACCGATCAGGCTCCATGTAGAAAATTTTTCGAGATTTTGGGGCAGTTTTAGTTTTCGGAACAGTTTTAGTTGAATTGTGCCTACGCAGCATAATTTTTTGTTCCGATCACGCATCGGCGCAGCGTTTTTTATTGGAGTTTCCCGCGAGAATGCTGAGGTGTGAACAGAAACTCGCCCCAGAAAAACCTGAACCTGGACCTCACGTTTACGGCATGGTGTGCTAACCATCCAGAAACACGTGCTGGGTGGGGTGGATCATATCCTGTTGTCCAATTTGCTATTGAATCGAATTCCTGTGAGTATTATGGGTACTCAGTTTGTCTGTGCCCACTACAGCAGAGCCTTTTGAGAGAAGAAGTTCTTGGAGGGGGAGGGCGTAGGTGAGCAGAGAAAACTACATTTGAAAGAATTGTTCTTTGAGACAAATATATTACTATTTCTGGGGTATAAGCGCACCCGTATAGAGCGCACCTTAGCCTCGAACGCCGCGAATGTCTTTTTTTTCTGAACTTCCTTTTGCGTATTTTCTGTTTATCTTGTCTGAATAAATGGTACATGTTGACGAGAACCAAGAAGAGGATCAGAAGGCAGGGCATTGTTCGGCTAGGTGAGGGCATTAGATGGTACCCAGTTGAGTGTATGCAGGTCATCTTATGAGGGCCTGTACATCCTTGTGACGAAAGTGACTCACTTGCACGATTTCGCAGCTTCACAGGTGTAACAAACCTGACAAAAGTGAGACCTTTTAGTTAACAAGAACTGATGACTGGAACTAACTGAATGCCCCTCCAGACCGAACAGCACCGATTACAGTTGCAAACAAAGGACTAAAGAAGTTGTTCTTCAGTTGGAAACGTTTTGCGCGCGTGGTCGCGTGCGTCATTACGACTGCGTAAATAAAAGCACCTTATAGTTCGGAAATTAAGGGGCCTATTGGCCACGGATACTGGGGCATAGCGAACAGCTGGGTTTAATGCCACACTTGCTATTCACCAAGTGTTGTGGATTGCTCTCTTCGACGGTTGCTGGAGAACATGTTGGCACGCATCAAACCCAGCCCCTAACCCCTCCCCTCCTCAGCACCCCCAGCATCCGCAGCGAACAAGATTGTGATTGATTTTGTATATGAAGCTTTAAGTTTTTCAGTTCAATGACTACAAAGCCGAGTTGTTCAAAGAGGCCGAAAGAATTGTCATGGAGGAGTTTCCGAAAAAAGTGATTGAGTACAACAACCTGCTACAGGTACCGGTAACCTGAACTTGCTTTTGATGAGGTAATTACAAATTGTAATCGTCTCATCTTTTCTAGACTCATCGCTTTTCGTATGCTCGATTGCCGGAGATGATGCCTGATCCGGATTTGAACATTCCCGTCCCTTGCGTGGCACACTTGGTACCTTTTTCTATCCATGTCTTTTGCCTTTTTGATGTCAGTACCTCTATCTGAACTTCCACCACAGAACGATGTCGATGGAGATGCTCCTGTGGCGAAGAAGCGAAAGCTTGCAGATTTTGATCCAAGTGCCAATAATGGTGAGTTATTACAATCAAGGGGACCTTTGACCTTGGAGGGTCACTCAAAGAATTTTTTGTGCAAAAATAGGGTTCACGTCATCCAAATAGAATTTCCGTACTTCCGTACGTGAAATTAGTTCATTCACTCATTGACTCCTCTTCCTGTTCGAGTTATAAGCAAATTCTCATTCTCATCAGAGCACCGCTATCCAAAAAGTCCTCCAACTACCTTCCATCCCCATCCAAGTTGCGAGCGCCCAATTTAAGCCAAATTCGCCACATAAATTTTGGTACTCGACGAAATTAGAGGTTTATATATAGGAACAATGTCGAAAATATATCTATAGACGTGGAAAAACTGCGAAGTGAAAAGCCTTCTAGTTCGTTGAAAACGTTTGGATGAGCGGACGAGTTCCCCGTAGGCATGTTGTCAATAACCGCTACGGTAGGTACGAGTGCAAGTATGTACTCATATCATATCATACTCATACTATCCACGCAGCACCGCAGCCGCTTCATACCAATGCCTTCGCTCCATATTTTAGTTAGAAGCAATACGAGAATCAGGGAGGTCGTCCATTTGTGGGCGGGCTGGCGTGGTGGGCGTTCGGGTCGGTATGTTGTAGCTTGATAGGGCCCTTATAAGGGTACCTTCCTTGGAAAAGGCGCTACGCAGCGCCTGCTCAGGGTCGCGGAATTCCGTCCTGCCAGGCGTATTAATCCTACTCGTCTTTAGGGATTTATCGTGCCAACTGCCTTTAAGTTGTGGTCGGCGAAGAAATTACCTTGGGCATCTCATAACCGAGCGCTATGATAGCTGAATCCTTCCAGTAAATAAATGTTGCCGTTCAGGTACTCCCGTATATGGCTTTATCAATGGCACCGTTCCATGCAACGCACATCTTGCTGACCTGATGGATCAGATTCGTCCGCTGCTGCGAGATGCGGTAGAGAACGTGAACAAGGTTTGTTATAATGTTACGATGTTGTTGGTGGACTGTACTGACGTATCTAGACCGCTCCCATTTCGGTCATCTTTATTCTATAGACCTGAGCTTGGGGGAAGGAATGACGAGCAGGTTGCAGGTGGTCTTGTGTCCCTCTTCCACACTAGCGCC